AAAAGTTGTATAGAGATATCCCACCTCTTTCCTTCTATCACATAACTCAATTTTTTTTTGAAGGGGGGCTGAAGGTAGGATATATCCACTTATTAACATTTGACTCCTAACTTTATTCAAGATGATTAATTTGAAGGCAGTGGAGGGAAATAGAACTCTACAGATTAAGAACCAGCCTTGGTTCTACTAAAGACCAAGCTAATCCTTCAGCTTCCTCAACAGTTTTCTTTTTTTTCATTTATTTTTATTAGTTGGAGGCTAATTACTTTACAATATTGTAGTGGTTTTTGTCATACATTGACATGAATTAGCCATGGATTTACATGTATTCTCCATCCCGATCCCCCCTCCCACCTCCCTCTCTACCCGATCCCCAAAGAGCATGTGTTAGTACTTGCCCATAGCAATGTTAGGAGAAATCAGATGATGACCAGATGGAAGGCTTTATATAAGACAAGCCATTGAGATATGTCTCAAAGATAATTGCTACTTCTCGGTAAAAAGTTATTTTAAAAATAACCAAGCACTTTTGACACTAAGAATTTTCTCACTGGAACTTTTGAAATTTTCTTGATGTGCTCATTTCAGCAGATGTAAACACCAGCAACAATCTGTCATATCAGGCTAAACATTTTCTTTACTTAATATTAAAATTTATTGAAATGGCAATGCCACTAAGCCAAAGTATCGCAACTAAAAAATTAAGCCAATTACACCTAACACCTTATTTTTAAAAATTTCTAAAATATAAAATGGTATTTTAGTTATATCATGCAGGAATATGTTTAACATGCTAACCAAAAAACTTCAGGGGCTCTGGAGTGATATACTTTATAGTTAATGATGTCCTTTATGCTATAATCAACTTTGGACAGTTGATCCTTCTGAGAAAAGCAGAATATAACATTCACACATTTCCTTTTCTTTGTTTTTACTTGAAAACTGAAAGTTTTGTAATCTTATTTGTATAGTTCTATTCTGGTTTTATACCAGTATAGGTGAAATAAGCTTGAAGAATTTGTCCCTGATTTTATAACAATACACATGCAAGCAATGTTATAATAAATAAAACTACTATAACTCACATTGGGGAGAGATAGGGTGGATGGGGGTTGTCTGTGAGAATATGTGCCTTTTAAAGGGGTACAGGCTTGAGAGACACTGATCTATACACACATTTCCTTTTTAAAATAAATTTGCTACCTTTGAATCTTATCACTGATTTAACAGCAATATTTATGGTTTCATTCTAAATACACTGAGGTTAGTATCTTAATAGCAACTAATTCTAAGAAGAGTTAAAATAAAGACAATGACTTTAATGTGCTCTATGTAGCTTATGTTGGCTGAATTTTATAGATTACAGTACGGGCTTCCCTGGGGGCTCAGATGGAAAGAATCGGCCAGCAATGCAGGAGACATAAGAAACGTGGGTTTGATCCCTGGGTTGGGAAGATCCCCTGAAGAAGGAAATGGCAACCCACTCCAGTACTCTTGTCTGGAGAATCCCATGGATAGAGGAGCCTGGCACGCTACAGTCCATACGGTTGCAAAGAGTCGGAACACGACCGAAATGACTTAGCACGCATGCATATATAATTTAAAAATGAACCTGCTTTGCTCTCATGTTTACGTATATTCATGTATATGTGCATTTAAGTAAATGAAAAGGAAAATCTGGGTTTTTAGATGCATTACTCAAATTCAATCAAACTCAGAAGCCAAATTATACAAAACTAAAGCAATGTTCAGGAAAAGTATAGAATTTTGCAATATTACTCTGCTCTAGGTTTCAATACCAGGCCTCTGTCACCAGATTCTTGGATTTCTTTCAATCGCCCCCTAAAAAGAAGCCGATCTTGCTTTAGGATGTAACAATCCTACACTTTACACTAGAAGGTTTTACAGGAGGAGGAAGAAATCCTTTCATCACACTCCAGGAGAGGCCTCGTATATAGAAAGCTCCATCTCTGTACCATCTTCTTCTGCTTCTGCTAAGATCCGCCCAGCCAATCTTCCACCATCAAAGGCTTGCATAAAACATACTTCTCCTCTAGGTTGAGGTGTTTTATTTAATCTCTGAGGAGAGCTCACCTTTGTTAATATCAGTCTCTCCCAAGTTTCCCTCGGCCTTCCATCTCAAACACTACCCATAAATTCTGCATGCACTGAGAAGCCTTGGACACGCTGATTATGTGTCTCGTGGGCCCATTCTCAGCAGCCGCAGCTCAGATGTCTGAGTTGCTGTCACTTGGCCCCCATGTCTTCCCAGAGCTTAAAGTCATTTTCACTGATGATATTTAGCACTATTCACCAAGACAACTGGATTTCACATATTTTCACTGAAAACATGCACAAAATAAATGTCTGTTCCTGTTTTTGGCCACACCAAGTGGCATGTTGAATCTTAGTCCCGACATCAGGGATTGAACCCATGACTCCTGCATTGGAAGCGTCGAGTCCCAACCCCTGGACCACCAGGGAAGTTCCAGCCTCTTCTTTTCTATAAAAGGATAATGTCTCATGATTAAAGAGAAGTAAGTATTGGAATTCTTTCAGATAATCTGGAATGAAATGTCACTTCATTCTGGTTTCTCTCTGGATAAAAGAATAAAACAGAATAGTAAAAAGTTCAAAGTTCTTTTCTCAGTGGCTGCAAGCTTCATACTCTGTAGGTTGCCATATGTATCTGCACTGTGGGAGACAGAAACTGTGATAAATATCATTCATGGGTCTGTCTGAGGTTTGTTTCTTCCATTTCATGGAATATCTACTCTCAAGGTTCTCAAAAACCATTTAATCTGTAATCCTTTCCTAGACAACAGTTCTAGAGATTGCTTGCTTTGTGAGTCTCCAAAAGACCATCGTAACACTTAAAAGCAAGGAACGAGGCAAAAATGTATCTTTGAAAGTTACATTTGAAGATGGGAGAATGTAAATGGAATTAGATATTCTAAGTGTTGAGAAATGACACTGAATTTAGGGGCTAATTCACTTAAATGCAAAAAACTTTCATTCAGATTATTCCAAATAGCATTTATTTCAAGATGGATTTTGTTGCCAAGCTAATCTTTCTTACAGTATCTTTGTTGTAAACATTTGAAACAGTGCAGAAAGTGAGACATACCTAAACCATGAAGTGCTCACCCCTTGCTCCTAACCGCCAGAAGTTTAAGGATTTTGTTTATCTTCGTGGACATTTTCACTGCATACATCTCTTGAAAACACACACACACGGAATCATAGTATATTTTCTGTTCTGCAATCTGACCACACATAGAGCTGATCTACAGCAAGAAGCTACAGTGAGGCGGTTTTCCCGCAGGGCTGCCAAGGTGCCATCTTTACTGGTAATTAAAAAAATTTAAGTTGGGTGTGGAGGGTGCTAGGGCTCTGACATCCCAGTCTCCTTCTGAGCAAGAGAAATCACTGCTTCCCTCTGCTCATTCAGAAAACTCAGTAGCAAACTACAGGGCAGGTGCTGAGTGAGGCTCTGGGTACTCTGAGCCCAGTCAGAGGCTTGGCCCCTGCCCTCCAGGAGCTTTTCACTCTGCTCTCCTCACAAACCACTGTCCCCAGAAAGCATTTGCTTCTCTTTGAAGACAAACTTCACTGAGCACATGTCACACATCAAGAGCTATTTTAGACACAGCATAGACGAACAAGTTTCCAAACCTGCCCTTCAGAGAGCAGGGTCAGACTCCAGTGGCGACATATACTGCCGCTATCATGAGAACACGGTGAAATATGCACCCTGCTATTGAGGAGTTAAGACGAGGTGTCATTTCTCTTAGCTCTGAGGAGGAGGGGAGCGGAGGGTTGGGAAGCTTTGCTGAAGCTCAAGGGTGGGATAATTTCAGGCAGAGGAGACAAGAGAAGCAGACAGCTCCTTCAGGACAGGCGGGGACACTGCAGCAGTTTAGGGCTGCTGAAGCATGCGAAGCAGGGTCAGAACACAGAGGTTTTTTCACACGCATGTATCTGAGACAATGAGGGGTGGAGGGGGGACTGGTTCAGGCAGAAGGATTGGTGTGGGCATAAAGCATCAGAGCACTCACATTTACAGCTAAAGGAAGCCAGGAAACTAACCCAGAGACTGTGGCAGAGGGGTCCAGGGAAGAAATTATGAGACCCTAAACCAGGCATGGATATTTAGTGGGTAAAACCATCTGGATGTGAGAATGAATTGGATGTGAAGTTTGAAAGAAAAAAAAGGCAGGTTTTGGAATAACTCCCAGGTTTAAAATGTTGGTGATTGGTAGATGATAGTCTTTTTTTTTTTTTTTTTGCATTACCTGGTACTTACTCCTCAGCATAAAAGCCTTTTTCTATCTTAAACAGTTTCAATTCTATCTTCCCATCCCATCTTCTTAAGACAACTAAGTAATCTGCCTCACCTTGCACTGTCTTCAACCTAGCGCAGTGTGCCCCTGGTCCCCACAGCGCCCCCCAACTGCTCCACGAGGGTCACCCATGAGAGGGGTCCTGTTCCCAGAGCTCTTGGCAGCGCCAGGATCTGTGGTCACATCTTGAGCTCTCTCTCCCTTTGCTTGCCCGACGTGGCCCCCTCTCCCGGTCTCCTTTACTCCGCATGTCGGCTCCTCCACTGGCTCTCCCTCCTCCCTGGTCCCAGAATCAAGTTCATCTTCTCTTCAGATTCTCTAGATGCCATCCCACCCATGCCTCCACCTCCATGATGAAACTTCCCAGTCATTCTTTCAATTCCAAAGTCAGGTGTCCAACTGTCCTATTCCATCAGGGCCCATTTGCCCAGAGTGCCTCTCTCCTGTCTACATTCTCCGCTTGTGCTCAGGGTACCACCAGTGATTATCCTTCAAAGCCTTTATCTGCAGCCACACTTGGCTCTCGCTGGACATGGGCACAGATGCTCAGTTCTCAGCTCCCAACCCCCACCTTTGCATCACCGTGCTCTTTGTCCTTCCTTTGCTTAAAAAACATATTTGACACATAAAAAACATCTACAAAGTCAGCACCCCAGATTTTGGCTTATTATTCCATTTTCCTTTATTATTTTTACAATACTTAAGTACAACATATGTAATACATACAGAACTCTGTAATATAAAGCTAGTTGTGAAGCATAACATAATAAACAACCATAAACCTAACATACAACCCAAAAACCTGAACATTACTAATAACCAATGTCTACCCATGTGTCCGTGACATCTGCTCCCTGTTTCCCTCTCAGAGGTGATTTCTAGGCTGAATTTTGGCTTATCTTTTTTTTTTTTAGTTCTAGTTTTACCATTTATGCGTGCATTGAGAAGATGCTCTTTGGTTTTGCTTGCTTTTGAGCTCAATAAAAATAGTGTCAATCATATCCTGGGACTTGCTTTTTTTTTTTCCTTAATATTTTCAGAGATTCATTCTTCTTGTCAGGTATAGCTGTGGTTCACTTATTTTTTTTTTTTTTACTACTGAATACTGTTAATACACCTAATTTACTTAAACGCTGTCCTGTAGACAGAAAGGCATTTCAGCTTTTCCAGTTATAACTATCATGAAGATGTTACTATAAACATTTCTGTACATACCTCCTGGTACACAAATGCATGCATTTACTGGATACACAGCTGGAAGGTGGAGTCCTAAGCTAGAGCCCAAAGTGTGCAAATGTTCAACTTGGTGAGGTATGGTTGTTTTCTAAAGCAGGGGCACCTATTTACACATCATGAAATGAGCTCACACGGATCTTCTTTAGCACCTGGTGCTGTTAGACTCCTTAACTTTATAAATCTTATGAATGTAACTTATAAGCTAATTGTGATCGTAATTCGTATCTCCAAGGTTTCTATTGATTTATAAGCCCCATGTATTTTCTCTTCTGTGAAATGCCTCTTCAAGTCTTTTCCATTTTTCTTTTTTTTTTATTTTTAAAAATTACTCAAAAAAGCTTCATTTTTTAAATTTAGCTTTCTGACTCTGTGCTTCTGCTCTTAACGCTTTCACAATGATTTTCTGCTCCTCAATAAGGAAAGTGCACTTGATCCTATCACAGACATATACACCACCACGCCTGGCTGACATGTCTTCTTGCTTCAGACAATCTCATAAAGAACCTTAGGTCTCACAGCACAAACTCCTTGAAGCTGGCCTGGGCACACACCACATGTGGATTTTAGTGCTATCCCAACCTTCTTGGTATAAAGGTAAACAATTCTATTACCAGGGGTTAAGAACAGCCTAGTCTTACTAACAGGCTGTATTGTAGGAAAGCCTACAGTGGTATATCAAATGCTGGACCATCCTGAATGCCTCTAGATACCATCCTGGGAAGAGGAAGTCTGTTTTCCTATTATGTAAAAAATAGGAATTCTCTCTATACTCTTCTTACTACTTCCTTCTCAGTTAACGGTATTGTAAATATCAAGTCTTGGTTTGTCTTTTTACTACACTAAATTGTTTATTAGCTTAACCTAAGTGCTAGTTTGAATATATTTGACTTAATCATCTTTAATGATTAGCACATGTCTCAAGAGATTTGTTCCTGCCCAAAGATTTTTCTTTCATGCAAACATTTAAATATTTGCTTTTGTAATTCAGACCTTAATGTATTTGGGACTGACTGCTAGGTGAGGTGTGAGGCATAAACCAAACTTCATTTTTTCTGTAAGGATAACAGTTGTTCTAGAACTAGTTATGGAGTCACCCTTCCTCCCCCACTGATCAGCCATCTCATCATATCTCAAAGGTCAGTATATATGCATGGGCTGCTCTCCAGGGTCCTCATTTCACTGCACTGCTCAGAATGCCTACCTCTGCACCACATACAACACAGACTCTACAATAAAGCTTACTATCTTTTTTAAGTCTCCTCATTCTCTTCACAGTTAGAAGCCAGCTCTCTCAGTCCTTTGCTAATCCACAGACATTTAAATATCTGCTCATCACATTCAACAAAACCTCTGTTGGAATTTCTGCTTGAAATGGCATTGCGTCTATAGATAATTTAGGAGGAGATCTAACACCCTTACAACCTTCAGTATTCATGAACAAAGACAGTTCTTCATTTGTTTCTACCTAGCTTCTTCACCTTTATCCTTCAAGTCCCAAATCAGGCCTTAACCTAAAACACTGTCTGCCTTAACCATTTGGTTAAGGTATTGGGAAAGGTATTTCACCTTCCCAACTAAAAGTGTGTCTTTTATGTGCAAATTGGGGTGAGTTTGAGGTTTCTATTGGAGTGATGGTAGAATTTTTCATTATTGAATATATCAAGAATTTGAGAAGAGTAAGATGATACTGGATGCTTGACATGCTATGTTCTTCAGGACAGAGGAGTCTGGATAAAGATACTGGTTTGATGAGATTTCCCACTAAAACTATATAACCAAGAAGGTAACTAGTGATGGGATCATGAGGACCAGGATTCAAATCGGTAGAGGAAGAGAAAATTATGAAAGAAGCTAAGAAATAAGAAACATGTAAAGTTAACCAGAAGAGTGAAATCAGGAGGAAACAGGGAAAGAAGATTTCTGAAGTGGTCAACATTGCCCACATCCAGAGAAGAAAAATCACTAGAATAGCCAATGTTAGATCTTAATGGATCTAACAACTAAGAGGTCATTTATGACAGAAGAGATGGGTTAAAAAAAAAACACCTAACTTCACTGAGTTAAGGAGAGAATGGGAAAAGGTGGTTGGCACAACGCAGACACTCGGATATTTGCTGAAGACAAGCTTGAGAGAAAGAGAGAGAAGACAGGCTATTCTCTGAAGGAGCCGAGCTGTGAAAGGAAGGAACAGCAGAATGTCTCAGAGGAGAAACAGCACATTATGAGGCCTGACGGCAGCCGTCATCCCATACACTGGCCTCCGTCCCATACACAGGTAGCAGAGGGAGCAAGCTTCCAAACAAGCGCTTCTGTAGAGGGAAAAATAAACATGGGGTCCCTAATGGGAATGATGAGAGCGAGCAAGTGGACGTGAGAGCCACGGATGCTGACGACGAGGTGACGTTCTGGATGTGTGGGCAGAGACACAGAGAGACTCCGGGGACGGCATGGTCACCTTCCTGCCTTTGAGGTCACCTGACACAAAGAAGGGGTTTTCCTCAAGCTCTCGTCTATGTTCTTTAATGAAAACACAGGGACTCAAACATGAACAAATTGGTTTTGTCTTTAGATAAAAGGCATCCATCACGGGATTAGATCAACAGTACAATGAAGGAAGCCGTTCTGTCACATAATGAGTTGAGAAAAGATACGGTAAACATTTAATGAAACTGGGAGACTCTTAACAACTATGATTCAGATAAAATACATTAAAATATTAGGAAGAGGCTATTCTTTCTTATATAGAAGGATGTGCCAACGCCTAGAGTAACAGAGCTGCTACGGAAGAGAAATAAGTCCTCCAACTGAGCATCTCAGGAAACTGAGCCCCATTCTCAATCCAGCACAGATTAAATGGATCCTAAAGAAAGCATATAATTCTCTCTTTAAGGGCCAGTGATGCCCGAAAAGGCAAGTTACTCTTCAGGAACACATGTACATGCTAAGTTATGTAGGATTATCAACTGCTAAGCTTTTTCCTCCTTTCACCTCCAATATACCTAACTGTATATTTGATGTAACTGCTTTCAGACGAGGCCAGCTTATACCACGAGGGGAGGGGGGACTGTCTTACAGAAAATGAGATCTGATGATGCCAGTGACACAGAAAGTAGCTTCTTCTCACTCCAGTCACTGTGTTCAACGGGGCTCTAATTCCAGAAAGGGTAGCTAGTATACTGAACCAGTCATCCCCACGTGCACTTCACCCCCATTAATCTCTCACTCCCTTTCCTTGAGCACCTACCCTGTGCTGAGCTCGAGAGACCTCTACAGAAGCTGCTGTCTATCAAGCTCTCACTATATGCCAGACCCATGTTACCTGCCTTACACGCGTTATCTCGTTTAATCCACATCTCATGCCCACAAGACAAGAACTAGTATCACTATCCCCATTTTACAGATGACAAAATTCTGTTAAGAGAACTGAAGTAATTTGCCTCCGTCATACAACAAGGATGTGGCAAAGCTGAAACTTGAATCCGGGTGTGTCTGACTTCAAAGCCCACACTCTTAACCATCTCCCTGCAATAACCATGAACAAGTCCACGTGCTGTTCCCATACCGTACACGTGTGGAGTTGGGGCAGTGCAGAAAAGGAAGAACTGAGAAGAGTGACGCTGCCCATCCATCCACTCTGCACAGGACATGCAGCTGAGCCTGCTCAATTCTGGAAAACGACCCAAGGATGTTAACTACGCTTAGCGGCCACTCCCTCTGCCTACCTCCTTCTTCCCCCTCAGGGCGAGGGAATGGGAAATTACGAGAGAACAAAATGCTTGGAGAATGTGACTATATTTGACTCACCAGGGCAAGCGGCCTGAGAACCTCTAATAAGCCTCAGGGAGAGCGTGCCTTTGGCTAAAGGGATGCCTTCAAGCATCTCCTTGAGGCTTCAGTAAAGGAGGTCTCGGGAGAGAGAGCAGGGTGATGCTTCTTCCCTGTCAGAGTAACTGCTCTAACCACTCAGATTAAAGTGTCCCATTGCTCACGGCATCACTAGTGCCACAAGGTCATATTTCTCAATTGACTTTCAGGCTTTTCTCTGAGAGAGAGAGAGAAAAAAGAAGTGACATCCTAGGTCTGGGAAAAAACTGAAAAAAGTCTGACTTGCTTTGAAATGCAAAAGACCTCCATCTCCAGCTTGTTCTAGCCCCCAAGGGACCAGGGACAACCCTGGAGTCTTACTTGCTGCTCTTTATTCAAAGTTCCCTGGAAAACAGCTGCTTGTTTTATTTTTTTTATTATTTTTTTTTTCAGCTGCTTGTTTTAAAAGAACTGCAGGAAGACCCTGGTCTTCTATAAGGTCCTCCCAAACGTCTGCACCCTGGAGTGGTGCAAAGGGCAACCAGATGCAGATGGGCTCCTGGCCATTGTGCTGTTATGATTAAGGCTCTTTGGACTGTTTCCCTGAGGATCACCAAGTACAGACAAGTTAAAAAAAAAAAAGTTAGTCTGTATCATATCCCACAATGGGTCCAAGCCATTTCTCAACCTCAGCCACAGACATGTTCTTCCTCGAAGCATAATCCTCAATCTGCAAAAGATTAAAGGCAGTTTGTTAAAACAAAATGATATGATTTTCTGAACTAAAGTTCCCACAGCAATCACTAAGATACTCTAAGTACCTTCCATGTCTTATCTAAATATTAATAGTGATCCACTGAGTTAAGCAGAAACAGATATTTATTTATTCACTAGGGTGCCTTATTCTCTGGGCAGAAAAACAATATGTAGTAACTATCTGGTGCTTAGAGGCCTGGCTGGGGTAGGGGGGAGAGGAGAGGAGGGTGGTCTATTTATACATGGGAGGACAAGAATTGGAGTAATGAGTTGAAATCAAAGCAAAACATTAGTGGGGGTAAATTTCTTCATCTTTTGCCTCTCATTTTATTCTCATTCACATGTAAAATAAAACAGGTTTAACAGTTCCATTTAAAACAAGACAGGCACCAAGGGATGCCACCTACAATGAAACAGCTAACTTACCTGATCTTTGGAAATTTTCCCCACAGCAAAATACTTGGACTTCAAGTTGGAGAAGTAAAGGCCAGATACTGCTGAAGCAGGTGCCATGGCCAGCGATTCTGTTAACCTAATGCCTGAGGAGAGCAGCATGAGGAAAAAGGCTCATTTATTCGGTGCTGAGATAGGCCTGCCGGTTGGTAGGCACCCAATAAAGTCTTATTTACAAGTGAGTGAGAGTGAACTTGTGCCTTTTAGATGGACACATGACGTGGCACGAAAGATGTTGTAGAGTAGTCTAGCAAACTCCCACCAACGGGATGAACAAACTTAGGACATGCAGATCTCCTGTAACCAGGGCAGGGGTAGGGAGGAGGCCTGGAAGACTCTACCCGCTTCTCCCGGCCTCCAACATCAGCCACAGAGGCTACACCCACACCTTCCAGACAAGGACCCCAACCCTGGAGTTGAGGACACCATCTGGGCCTGCAGAGGCTCCGGTGGGCCAAGGTCACTAGGGGTGACCTCAGCTGGGCCCCACTAAGCATGAGCCCACGTCATGGCTACCCAGTCTACGTTATTCACTTTCTGGACAAGGCAACAGAGCAGTGTGAAGGTCAGGCGCTTTGTCAAAGGTCACCCAGCTGGCTTATGGGTCCTAAGTCCCCACCTCCTGACTCCTGAGCTCGTGCTATTCCTGCCAGCCCAGATTCAACAAGCCTCACAGCTCCCCACGTGCACCTACATTCTTTTATT